CACGTCACCAAGTGTTTCTCTTGTCGCATGATTAGGTTTACCAAAAGTTAATACCAAAAAATAATATGTATTTCAGACGTCTGCCAACATGTAATCTGACAATAAATTGTATCAGTAGTCATTTTATCGATCATAGAGTTTGAAATGTTGACTTGAATGAAATTGTTGCTATCTTTGCATTGACTATAAACCTTTTTGATAGTAGCCCTCTCACTTAGAGATTTATTGTACATAGATGATGTTTTGGCTCATCGAAAATATTTTACTATGTGAAATAGGAAATTCTCTGGAAATAATGGCTTAAGGTTCTCTAGTCTCAAGGTTCTAAAAATGAGACATTGTCCAATTGAAAATGCTCACAAAAATGTATATTAATTACTGGTCATATTTTATTTACAAATTTCTGACAAGTTAATAGGTCTTGTTTTTTACTTAATTTGAATATTTAATATTCTTTGTACCTTATCAATACATAGGGCACACATCGGGTCGACAGGAGATACATGTAGTTACTCATCTTTGGTTCCTGATCCCATCTCTGATATGGGATGTATGTTTTGTCTGTTTATGGCTTTGTATTCTTTGTATTTTTATTAAGATCGATCAAGTACATTGGCTTTACCCATTTTATGATTTGCAGGTTTATTTACGCTTTTAAAGATTTCCAACTAACTCTTTTATCTCTGCAAAGAAAAATGTGTTTTCAGTCAACTGTGATTTTAAAAATGGTACATGTGGATGGACGTGGCAAAAGGATACGGTAGCTCTCAATAAAATGACGCCCCTGTGTGGACGCTTTGGTAATCGATTTAATTGTGGTAAAGGATACCATGTCCAAACTGCAACTTGGTGGAAGCGAATACGGATTTCCTCAGCTGTAAATTATTTAAATTGTAAGTATTTCTATAAAAGTGAAATTTCCTAACCTTATCCTTTTAGTCTTGCATACGTAATCTCAACCAATCTGTAATTACATATACATGTACTTTTTATCTTAAATAATTCTGGAATTCTCGAATGGGACATAAATTAACAAAAAATTAAAATCTATCCTACCAAAAAAATATCATGATTGCAAAAAAGTGTGAAAACAAAATGATTGCTGACAAATTTTTTATTGTAGATTTTATATTTAAAAGCTCATGAATGAAAACTGATCTTCATTTAGCACCATAATCAAGACAGCAACTTAGTTTTGCTTTTGAAATTGATTGTAGAAATATTAATAAACTGCAGAAGTACTTTTTTCCGCGTGGTATTAATTTATGCTATGCACGCGGTCACAAATTTTTCGCGGAAATTTGTCCAAGCAAACTTCTTGGACAATGAGTTTCATTCCTATGCAATTTTAAATAAGAACATTTAAATTTTTGTCTATTGTACAGCACTAGTTGGACTGAAGGTCTCTAATTCTACCCGTAAGAAGCTAGACAGACTTGACGATAGCTATGTTCTACTATCGTCAATAAATTACAGCAATACATTTATCTATCTTCACACCATGGACGCCGTCAGTATAGAAATCCCGCTTGCAATAAGAAGCCATCGATGTCTTCATTACAGTCACGTTGTTTTTGGACCTGAGGCCGCACTTGTCGTTGCATACATAACCAACTATCTACAGCCTTACTATCTTTGGGAATTTTTAAATGTACATGATAAGAGTCCTGTGATCCAGTTTAGCAAAGCTTCCGCAACTCTTCCCATTGGAACCAACTTTAAGGTAAGGATAAGTGTTTCGTGATCTTTTGATTGAATAATCATTTTCGTGTTACTCTTTATACTTAAAGTAAACAAAACATATATCTTATATTTAAAGATAATGTATGTAAGAAAAACTGTGTCGCGTCTTTGAGTTTTCTATTATTGAACAAGATTGTAATCAACTTAAATGTTTACAATATATAGATGAGTAATGGGTTGAAGATTTCTCACCAAGTAGATCCTTCCATCTCCTATAACAAATTTAAATCCATTTTATATATTAACAGGTGGTTTTTCGAGCATACTTTTATATTTGGCCTCGAGCTACTTCTTTTGTCCTCCTCGACAACATCTTTATAGCAGAAGGAATTTGTAGTAAGTATGATAATATATTGTAGTACTGTCTGTAAAATCAAATATTTTCGTGGGGTCAATTTTTCGAGGTTTGAGGGAAAGATATTGATTAATAGGACTTGTTTCGTGGTGGATTTAAATCATGAGCATCTTTATGCCCCGAAAACAACGAAAATGAAACCCACGAAAATTAATGATTACACAGTACTAATTAATAAAGACTAAAAATGTAGGTTTTATTAGAGATCCTTACATCATCAACTAGTTTGTACATACCGTATATAATTTAAAAACAGAATTAAGCTATCATCCTTAGTAATTTTGTTTAAGACAATTGTTTTTGTTCTGCTATGTACATTTAGGCATACATATTATTGTAAAACTTTGTAAATGTTGAATGGCTATTTATATTTTAGGTATGGAAGAGAACAATCTAAGTTTTTGGAACATGTACAGGGTTCTCCATTGTTTAAAATTTTACTGTGTTGCAGAGTTTATGCGAAGCACTAAGATTTCACGGTATTTTTGCGATCAAATAAGCAACTGAATCACTGTTCATTATAGTTACAAAAGAATACATGCACACACTTTTTTAAAAACACAAATGGTAAGGTCGTTCATTTTGACAAAAGTAAAAACACATGTTCTAAAATGCAGAGGAAATTTTGGTCGATAATGTTGAACTACCAACATTTTTAATTAAATTTTCCGTGATTATTTGTCAGTTTTCTTAATCGAATTACCGAATTCCCAAAAAAGAAACCTCAGAATGGTAAAATAAAAAGAGTTCCTTGAATATATGGAGATTTTGAGCAATTTATTTACATAGTTACGATGTTATGTTTGACTTATAGTGCTAACATAATTTTAGAGCCGTAGCTTTATAAAAAAGATATATTTAAATATTTTTTTTTTAAATAATACAATCTATTTTAATGCAACTACCATTTCCGTCACATGAAAGTGTGAAAACAAATTATTTGTCTTTGTTCATTCATGCGTAAAGTCCGGCGGCGAGGGTCTAGAAGATAATTGATTATGCAAGTTGAAGCCATAGTAATTAAGTACTTTACCTTTTAGAATTATAAGACGGTAGAATTGTTTGATTAACGTTTCAGTTAGAGAGAATTTATTTGTTTGGATTTTCTAATTATCGCAGATCTTACAGCGTCGGCAAATCTATTACTGTGTCACAAGCCAAAAAATTGAATCGTTTCTGTGTCGGAGAAAATTTTACTGTATCGGGAGCAACACAGTAAAACAGCTAATGGAGAACCTTGATGTATCCAATCCTATTGACATAATGTCAATAAAATATGTTCAAAACAACTTTGATTTAGAAAAAGCACCAATAAGCATATCATTTTCATGATTTTAGAAATATGCAGTCCTGATGAATTCAGATGCAGCGCTGACCGGGATGAATGTATCCCATTAGATAAAGTTTGTGACTTTGTTTCTGATTGTCTGAAAGGAGAGGATGAGGCGTTTTGTGGTGAATATTATACACAGTCTTTGATTTTCACCCATTTTCAAAAGAAAGTACGTGTTACTGTTTTCTCAACAATTCCATAAAATATACATTCAAACTTAAAGCTTGTCATTTGTTTAGATGGTTTTGTGTGGATAAAATATGTTTCACAAAATAGAATTTAAAAATTAGTGAAGCACCTATCCTTTTCCAGGACATTTTTGAGAACCCAATCTGTTGTGAACAATTAATTGGAATTTCTGTTTTTCTGTTCTCGTCCCCCAATATTTGAGTTTCTATATATATATAAATCAAAATTAAATCCAAGATAAACAAACAAGTTTACGTTTAATTTCACGTGTACGTGGAGGCGTGTGTTAAAAAACAATTCAGAATTTTTTTTTAAACTCATGATATCCAGAGACGGGAAAAAGAAAAACATTTTATTAGTATTTTTCAGCCAAAACTTAATATATATAAATTACTTGTGATTTCCCCGTACTTTTGCATATTGTATCTATGATATATATATATATATATATATATATATATATATATATATATATATATATTATATATCCAAAGTTTTCTTTGAAATATATGAAAGCGCTAAAGCTTAACTGAGGATTTTTGTGTTTGTGTTGTTACCATTTTTTAATATTGTTATCCGATTACTGAGACACTATTTAAATTTTGGATATATATATATATATATATATATATATATATATATATATATATATATATATATATATATATATATATATATATATATATATATAAAGAATTTTTTTTATTTCAGCGAAAAATATCAGTAAATCCCTATGCAGAAGACAAGATCGCGCATTTACTTCTCAGAATTTATCCATACGACATGAGGAAGATCAGACACAATATGCCCCTGCCATAAATATTTGCAATGACTGGGATCAATGTCCCTTGAATTCCTCGAGCACTTGTTTTCTATCTTGCCCTCGTAACTGTTCCTGTGTTATATATGTATGTTAGTATATATATATATCAAATATATATATATTATGCTGTCTCTGTATCTTTCAATGGTTTATTGAATGAAAATATAGTAATAAGTGATAGTCTGTTTCCAAATCTGAAACGAATTATCATTACAAATTCTATAATTGAGTCATTTAACATTAGTAAAGAACATATAGAGATAATGTCCATCCAAAATAGTAAAATTAAAAATGTTTTCTTCCATAAAAATTCCTTCCGGTACATTAATGTCACCGAATCTTCCTTTCAAAATGTGTACTTTTTTCATGATTATATTAAAAGGTATGTCTTTGATGTATTAGAATTCAATGTACAGAAAAGCTATTTGAAGAACACGTTTGATTTTTATGTTCCATATTATTTATGGAATTACTTTACATTTAAGTCCCATGTTCTCACTGGTTTATTGAATGAAACAGACTCTAAAGTAGAAGAGGGAAAGGGTGTTCATCTAAAAATGGTGGAAACACAGGGATTTCATCACATGTTCGAGAAACTTAGTTATACTGTTGTTAATTTTAGTAATAGCTATTTGACGGATCAGCCAGATTCATACTATGAAACATATACACTTGATTTAAGCCACAATCGTTTAAGCTCATGGCATATTCTGTCTTTAATTCAAGTTTTACATCTTCAGCATAATTTGATAGTTTCAATCAATTACACCATTGACCTTGGCATATCCGAGGCCCGGCTTCATTATCTAGATCTATCGTATAATAAGATTGAAAGAATAGCCAATAATGATTTAGCTGTCTTAAACAACCTCATGTATCTTAAACTTCAACACAATGTCATAAGTTACATTCATCCAAGAGCATTTTTAAAATTATCTGAACTGATATATTTAGATTTATCAAATAATCAACTCCGTGATTTGGAACGCAGTCATTTTATTCATCTCTTAAATCTTCGCTATCTTTATCTTCAAAACAATAACCTGAGGGTAATGGAAGGAATGTTTGATGGCCTCATGAATATTCAGTATCTGCAAGTTGATTCGTACACACTTTGCTGTGCACAACCGAAGGCTGTCAGTAAAATCCAGTGTTTGGCACCCGTAAACGAAATTTCCTCCTGCAACGATTTAATAGACATACCTCTTCTCAGTATAGCAATATGGTATATGGCCCTTCTAGCTGTATGTGGAAATTTGTTTGCTACATGTCATAAACTGTTTTTGCAAAATAAAAAATCAAGTTTATGTAAACCATTCGATATTCTTTCTATCAATCTTGGTTTCGCAGACTTTCTAATGGGTGTTTATCTTTACATCATAGCAGGAGCTAATTTAAAATTCAGCGATCGCTATGGTTTTGAGGATTTTTCGTGGAGAAATAGTCCTTTATGTACTTTTGCCGGTTTATTAGCTACTCTTTCTAGTGAAGCATCCACATTTTTTGTACTTTTTATCACCATTGACAGAATTTTGGCCATTCGATTTCCATTTGCATTGCTGAATAAGAAAATCAAGATTGCAAAGACCGTTTCCATGTTAGTGTGGATGGTTTCTTTCCTGTTGTCATTATTGCCCTTATTTGGAATTGAGTACTTTAAGGATTATTACTCCGGTTCTGGAGTGTGTATCTCTTTACCTCTGTCAGTTCTCCGGAAACCTGGATGGGAATATTCTATGGTACTCTTTGTGGGGGCAAACTTTGTTATCTTTATAATGGTTCTTTTTGGGCAAATACTTATATTTATGGATGTTGTTCGATTTGATACGAAGGCGAGCCGACAATCGTTTTCCCAAAAACGAACAGAAATAAATATAGCAAAATCCCTAATGGCGGTTGCAGTTACAGATGTGCTTTGTTGGGTTACCATCGGAACTCTAGGTAAGGAAGTGTTAACATACTCAGGTACATTGCAATTTAAAAAAAATCCATCATGTACATTCAGTTAAACTACTAATATAAGTTTATGTGCAACATATTGCTTTTAAAACAGTTTGTTTAACGTGTATTTAAAAATTTCACGAACGCGGCCAAATTCAATTGCTTGTTCTAAAATGATTTGTCTGTTTTGTAGGGTTTCTGACATTTATGGGCATTGACGTCACCAATAAGGTGTACGCCTGGGTCATTGTTGTTGTTCTCCCTATCAACTCTGCACTGAATCCTCTGATCTACCTGTTTTCTGTGATGATGAATCGTGGTGAAGAACAGAGATGTGGTTCTAAAACCGATGAACAGGTTGTTTTAAATATATTCATTGTTGTAAATCTTATCATAATGTACATGTACAGTGTACATGTTGGTTGTGTTTTTAATTTTCGATAGATAAAGAAAAGTTTTAAATGAATAAATATTTTATAATTGTGATCTTTTCAGAGATCTTCTTGGACATCAAGCTTTACAAGAAACACGGAATCAAAGGACGGATCAAAAAAGTATCAGGTATTTCCTTTTTAAATTTCTTTTGAAATGCTTACTATTGCTTTCAATAAATGTCTTTTAAAATATTAATGTTTTTTTTCCTTTAGGTATCAACATCGGGTGGAAGACAAACCAATTTTGTCAAGCCATGGATCCAAAATGATGAAAAACAAAGGAAATCGAACATACAGGTCATTTCTTTGCAACGTCTTAAAGTCGATTAGGATTTTTTTGCTTAAATAAAAAAGTTATCATTTTAGAAGATGATTTGATCTATTCTTTAATTATATTTTGATGGAGAAAGCAATGGTTTTGCTCTAAGACAAAGATATGTACGTGTGTAACATAGAAAAGGAATATGATATATAGAAAATATTCAGTGTTTGGTAATATATAAGATAACAGAATATTTGCGAGCTATATCTCACAGATTCACACTATATACATGTAGAAGGCCTTTTGTTTATGAACATACATGTTATATACCTGTATACTTTTTATAAAAGATAAATTTAAATCCGAATATTTTTCTTTAATTTATTATCTAGGGACAATTTAGATCGTTCAAAAAAGCTATATAATGATTTTTCATTATTTATCCTTTTATGTTTGAAAACACATCAAAGCCTTCTGTCATGTCTTGTAAGGCCTAAGATTTAACAATTTCGTTAAAATTTGAATAGAATTCAATTGTAAACATATAAATATATATATATATATAGTTAGGTTAGTTTAAGAGTTGTTGTAAAATGTGCTTTAAAATAATAATTAATTTCATTACAACATGTATTGGTAACAATCCTCTGTTAAAACTAATGTCCAAATAACTGTATCTCACTTCTATTCTCAATGACCGTGTAGTGTAGGGCAGCGCCGCGAGAATTCCATCGGCATCGAAAGCAAGTTTTTTAACTTGCCTAGATAGCCGAGCGGTCTAGCGCGCTGTTCCTGCACTGCTAGGAGACAGATTCCGAAGGTCGAGAGTTCAACCCCGGGCTGGGGCGGAAGTGGGTATCCATGTAAAAGTGAATTTCTTTGTGCTTTCTATATTAATATTTCTTCACTTAGGGCAGTTAGGTTAGTTTAAGAGTTGTTGTAAAATGTGCTTTAAAATAATAATTAATTTCATTACAACATGTATTGGTAACAATCCTCTGTTAAAACTAATGTCCAAATAACTGTATCTCACTTCTATTCTCAATGACCGTGTAGTGTAGGGCAGCGCCGCGAGAATTCCATCGGCATCGAAAGCAAGTTTTTTAACTTGCCTAGATAGCCGAGCGGTCTAGCGCGCTGTTCCTGCACTGCTAGGAGACAGATTCCGAAGGTCGAGAGTTCAACCCCGGGCTGGGGCGGAAGTGGGTATCCATGTAAAAGTGAATTTCTTTGTGCTTTCTATATATATATATATATATATATATATATATATATATATTATATATATATATATAAACGATATATACATATATTTTCTTCTTTGGTTTCCCTGATTGTTTCTCAGCTATGGAAAGGTTCTTAAGAATAGTCTTAAGATATGACTTGGACATTGGCTTTCGTATAGAATTTTTCAAAAACTTTTGAACAAGTTAAATGGTACCAAACATATTTAATTCGAGTCCTTTTAAACCATCAAACCAGCTTTCTTTGATAGATTTTGTCAAGTCAATGTTTCTACAATTCTAAATGCATTTCTTATGTAAAATGCTGATAAAATGGACCTATATTATTTTTAACCCTAAGTTTTTTTTTTCTAAAGCCCATTTATTTAAAAAAAATTATAAATAAAATATTTTGTTGTTTCTTTATTTCCGATGACATGCATATACTTTGAAAATGCAATATAGAAAGAAGACACAGAAATACCAGCACTGTTTTTTAATTTTGCGTTACTTACCTTAACATCTGATTAAACACTTGTTACATGTATTGACAAGAGTAAATGTGTGCTTCTTTGATCCACGACTTGCACAGGTAATGTAAAGTCAGGTGTACACGGTAAGATCTGGTATTATAATATTCATATACTTGTCTCTAACCTGGTTTTTTAAGCAAGTCCTATTTTTTGCCAATTTTAGTCATGTGTGTTTTATCGCGTACATACTTATAGAGTTCTAAATGCATTATTGTTCTACATTGTATATTTATTAGGGCAAATCTATGACATACATTTATTTTTTATTGCATGTACCTTTTGGGTTGTTTTTGTTTTCTTTTTCTTGTGACAGGTGTAGCATATATTTAATATCAGACAATACTGCTGCATATTTCATTTGCATTTGCATTAAATGCTCTTTTCAATTCAAATATTTGTTGATATCATTTTTTGGCAAAAACAGATCAGATTTGATTCTGGTAGAAAAATGAGGATAGATTGAAGTAAAAATAGACTGTGGTAAAATTATATTATGCTATGAACTTTTGTTCTTGCTTTATACCTAATATTCCTGTACAATTGTCATATATCTCGATTTAATATATCTGCATCTTCGCTAACCAAGGGTTTCTGGGTTTTTAATGCTCTATTCTTCTTATAAATCTTTGCCATACGGTGCTCTAAAAAGAAGGGATTGCTTTCATCATGTGATACCAAATGAACAGGTACGCTCAAATTACATCTGATATCAATGTTATTACGGAACTCGGTTTCCCTATTGGGGCACCATAACTTTACACCTGGTTGTTCTTCACACGTGGAGCTATTGTAATACATAGAACAGGTGGACAAAGAAAAAGATAATGGATTATGAACATCTGTGAAAAGATTAGAGAACGCGTGTACTTCAAAATGTTGTAAAAATTCAAAAATGTGTACACTGACAATAACGTAATCCAGTAATCCACAGTACTACTGTTTTAACAAGTTACACAACCTTTGTTTTTGTCGGTACCGAATCTACTATTTACAATTTACAAATCGTTATTTTTACAAAAAATTTATAACTTTATAAGTTATTGTTGACAATTGTATCTTTAACACATCTATCTAAAGGAATATAATGGTTTTTTTTTAAATAAAAGCGCTTGAAAACATAGAGGCTTCAAATGCACCTTCTGAATGGTTAACGTGTGTCAAAAAATTATCTGCAGTAAATCCCTAGATGCTGATATTATTTTGACTGCCCTGAGTTACAATACAGCATTTAGTTTAGTTAGATTGCATAGATTTTCTGAGTTAAGAACAATCCAAAGGAGGCTTCGAGAGTATTTTAGTCATAACGGATCACTTTACTAGATTCGCTCAAGCCATTCCTTGTAGAAATCAAACTGCTCATACTACAGCTAAAGCTTTATTTGATAACTTCTTTCTACATTACAGCTTTCCTGAGAAATTACACAGCAACCAGGGACGTAAATTTGAGTCGAAAGTAATCCAAGAACTCTGCAAACTCCTAGGAATAAAGAAAACAAGGACTACGCCGTGCCAACCGATGGAAAATGGCTCAGCTGAGCAATTCAACCAAACACTTATCAAGATGCTCTCGACACTCAACGAGAAGCAGAAATCAGACTGGAAATCCCATGTTGCTCCACTCGTTCAAGCCTACAATGCGACCAGAAATGATGCAACGGGATACACCCCACACTACCTGATGTTTGGTTGGCATCCTAAGCTTCCCATAGATGTATTCTTTGGTATGGACTTAGAACATGTGAAAGGAGATCACCATGGTTATGTAGAGAAACTTAAGGATAGGATGGTGTCAGCATATGGACATGCCTCTCAAGAAGCTAGGAGGATATCTGACAAAAACAAGAATCAATATGACCAGAGAGTAAGTTTCTGTAAGCTTGATATTGGAGACAGAGTCCTTGTGCGGAAAGAAGGATTAAAGGTAAAGAATAAACTAGCGGACAGATGGGATTCAGAAGTTTATGTCATCACAGAAATTCCAAATCCCGAGATCCCTGTTTTCAGAGTGAAGAGTACTTCTGGACGAGCCACAAAGACACTGCACAGGAATATGCTGCTACCATTTAACCAGATACCAGCATGTGACAGAGTTGAAACTTTTGTTAATAAGACACCTGTGACAAGAAGAAACAAGAAGCCAAAGAATTCTGTTAAACTTCCAGAGTCCGATTCTGAGAGTTCGGACAATGGAGTAACAATTGAAGTGAAAACAAGGATACCTAGAAATAGAGATGAATTCAGCAAAGAATTATCAGATCAACATAGTGTATCAGGATCTAAAGTCTCTAGTGTATCATATGATACTAATCAAAATATTGCTTCTTCATTTCAGAATTCAAGTCCTTCATTTCAGAGTGTGAGTTCTCCCAGACAGTAAACTTACACAGTTTGTCAGACAGCAGTGGTACCAGAGCTTCTGTGAGCGGTCCACATAGTCAGTTTATTTCATACCAATCACAGTCGCCTCTACCAATTTTGCCGAGGCAGTCAACCAGAATGAAAAATTTCCTAGATCGGTATGGGGAATGGATAATGTAAACAGTTTTTTTATGATATTGCTTTATGCCGAGAACCGATTTTTATGCTAAAAACTGCTTTTATGCCGAAATGTTTTTATGATGCAGTTTACCCGGGAATTTAATAAATTAAAATAAAAACGTTTTAAAAAAATAATAATAATGACCAAAATCCCTGATCCTTATACCGATTGAATATAACTTTGATATAAGTTTGTATGTTGCGTTGATGGGACTAGTTCTTAAAAGTTGTAAAACTTTAATGAGGTGTTTTGAGGTGTATTAATGTGTATTGAGGTGTAAAGAGGTGTAAATAGTTTCATGACTTATGTCATATGGAGGAATTCTTTGGACAGTTATTCCTACATTGATTGGTACATTTGTGTATTATGTGATTTGTTGGTGTTTGAAGCTTGGTCATTGATGAGGTTTTAATTTAATTACTTGATATCAGTAAGATGAGTTGTATCAGGTAAATTGGTTTTTATTTATATTTCATAGTTACTATTATTGTACATACTCCTCTGAAAATGTCAGGAGCCATTTCAACGAAGAGGGGGAGTATGTAACCAGGGTTATGTATTACCTAATGCTACTTTGTACTTGCGCTGCGTACATGTGAGAATGTAGTATGAAAGACTGTGTGAATGGGGTTGTAGTTATTTTTAGACACTAGACGGACAGTCACATGACTTTATCCCATTCACTGAATTCTGCTTTCACGAACTAACATCGGGCACTCTGAGCCCAGCCGTTGAATTGGTTAGATGTCTACTTTACTCTACAATATCATATACAGATAGTAATATTTGTGAATTCTTGTGTGTGTCCCGGTCAGATTCTATTCTAAAGTAAAGTCTATTTTGTTTTAATTATCTGTCTAAATGTCTGTCTATGTGTCGTTTATATGTTGTGTGTAATTGTAATATTTCAGGTTTTATGAGGTTTATTTCAAAGTAAATAATTTATTGAACCCATACCAGATGTTTTCATTTCTGATGTACTACCACTGGCTACATCAGTTTATATATTTTGATGGACATTAAACAGGTCGAGGAAACTACCTTATATGGATATTGTTGTTATTGCGCACAGAGGTGCTCACAACAAGCAATTGTCCAATCCAGTGAATGAGCCGCAAAGCATGCTGGTCTACTACATGTTTACAATTTACTTCAAACACGTGGTTCAGGTCAATTTACGACATGATTTCAAAAGCCTGTCGGAGAGTCAAATAATATCTATTTTTAATTTTTTTGTTAAAAATAGAAAGAATACCTAGTAAATAAGATGTTCCATGCTCACATTAGCAAACAAAACTACTTTTCTGTGTTAAATAGTACGTTGAAATTCCGCTCACCAACTCTTCACAGGTAATAAAAATGTTTGTTTTACTTGATATTCGTATTTTAACAATATGCTTCTGCTCTAATTCATTTGTTAACTTCAGGCTCATACATTTTAAAACAGAGTGTATTTTAGTCTCACGACGTACATTGATATTATATATAAAAAAAGAAAACGCGCAGCATACAGTGCAAATAGATCTACGTGAATCTCGCAGTCTGTAAAGTTTTGCTGAATTAAGTGCAGCTGCTGGGATGTGTTTTCTGTCAAGAAGATTTTCAGTCTCATGTTAAGATTTTTTTTCGGAGGATCATATTAGGCGCTTGAACGGCATTGCAACAAGTAATGATAGAATTTTACACTAAAGCATCTCTACACCATATGATTCTAAACTGTTAAATGACCATCTGAAGTCTTGTATGTATATATACATGGCACTACGTGAGTACATCTCGGAGTCGGTTATTGAAGAGCATGGAATACACGTGAAATTTTTATTCAACGAATACGTACAGGCCATTGTCCACAAATAGACATTCAATGGAGCGGATAAAGCCACAATATTACCGTTGTTAGTGAATTGTTTGTAAATGTGAGCATGGAATTAGTAGATAACGATGTACACTTTGTGTTAAGCATGAAAAATGCTTGAAAAGATGCATCATGTCTTTCCGAGAGCGATTTGAAAAAAGTGGCATTTTCCAAACGTAGTATGTTGTGTAGTAACCCAACTCATTCAGCGGATTGGTCGATTTGGCAGTCACGTGGGTATCTCATTTAGCATGTAAATTTATTCTGACGTCACGGAAAATAGTTTCCTCGACCTGTTAAACTCAAAATTCCTGTAGGGAAGACATTTTATCGCCTTGAAAAGGAAGATGAGGAAATTATAAACAATAAATTTCAAGACTGTTGTAAGAAATCTTAAGGTTCATATACCTTCTGCTCACTCACATAAAATGTTGCTTGAACTTTACTGATTTTCCAAAAAATGCACTTTATAAGTGAAATAAGAACAATTATAGCATAGCTTTTGGGAAAATTTGGACAAAAAAGACACTTCAATTTGGCAAATCTATTTAGGAATAATAGACAATAGTATCATTAAGAGTTATCTCTCTTATCGGAGTATTAATGAACCTTTAGTCTGTAGACTGTAATGGGGAGGCTTTTTGATAATTGCAACGGAGTCATGAGACGAGCTTTTCGTTTTAAGAAAATCTACTAGAATAATATGTTATTATAAGGAATGGCAATTTGTAACCGGTTAATCGATTGGAACGATGGGAATCGGTTAGAAAATCTGTAATCGAATAGTCGGAAAAAATAAAATATAATGTGAAGCAGTTTCCTTAAAATTTCATTTCACCTAAACTTAAGTAATTGTAGGGAGTGCATCCATTAGGGCATGTACATGTAATTGTAGTATATTTTTAACAAACAATTGAATGATATAAGAATTCTGCATTTTTTAATTTGTTATAAGTACCTTTTACCGACAAAAACGGAAAAATATGATTATTTACTACTTCAGAAAATATTTCAGGACTAATCAATTGTTTCTAAGAATTATGACCTGTTTTTTTATTTTTATTCTGTCATATTTGTTTAAACAATGTATTTGAATCATTTTGGAAAATGTTCACATCCTGAATTCTGTTACTTTGCAGTCATTATCATTGAAAATTTCTCAACTTTAAACATGTGAAATAGAATGTTTTCATCTTCTTTGTTTTAAGTGTATTTCATGTTTTTTCCTATGTATTTGTTTTTTTTACTTTTATTTTTCATGTTATCTGTCGATATTCTTTTGGATATAGTCACTTCCTGTGTAATCAAACATGTATATAGGAAGGAAATCAAGCCTGTTTCAGTGACAATATAATTAGCGGGATAAAAAGGAAGTTTTTGTTTTGTTTTCGGTTCATTTTTGCTAAAAAAAAAAGTCCCCAAAACCCACGCTTTATTGTACTAAAATAAAAGATTAGTTTAATGTCCATTTCATCAAGAATATGAAACTTAGTTATGTAGTGAAATGAAATAAAATTAAATATGCACTTTCGCCATGATTTAAAACAAACAAAACGATTCTTCATTGACATATGGAGACATAATTGAACACTTCAAATACATATTAGTTGGTATCTAATTTTTTTTATATAAATATATATTTCAAGAAAGTTTCAGTTTGTATACTTTAACTTGGAAAAACATTTTTTTTCTAGCGACACCATTTTTAGAAAAGAGAATGGTTGTAAACTAAATCAAAAACTCAAGCATTTTCCTAATAAAAAAAACTTTTTGTGTACTTAATATGTAGTTTTATTTGAAATATACTTCTTAAATGTAAACATAAGTAACAATCAACAATGTTAAATACTCACTGGAAAGGATCTTGATTGGTCAAGTGAAGATTTATGTAACAATGGAGGTCCCAAAATCGAGTTTATTTAGTGTTAAGTTAGCATTACACATGATTATGCTGCTGAAACTTCGTGGTACCCCCAGCCATCTCTTTAGGTATTTGCTCGCTGTTGTTTCCATCCCTTCTACTGTGCTCATTGGTACCTCATACACCAATAGTTATACAGCTCTGGGACTAAGCTACAGTTACCTCTAAAGTCAATAACTGAGGAATTCAAGGTGCGTCAACACTTAATGTTACAGAATAGCAAAGACGAGAAGTTTCGGACAGCAAAATTAGATATCAGGACGGGGAGAAAGTGGTCAGTAAAAGAAACTAGACAAGAAGCAGAATCCCGCTTGAGACACAGTGACATTGTCGGAAGACTGGCAATAGGAAGGCAGGGACTTGATGTCACACCAACAGCAAGATAGGGTACAGCTTCGGTAGAAGAGAGGCGTAGTTTGGTGCAGAGAGAGGTGCGTGCAATGGAGGAAGATTCGAGAATGGTCAAAGCAGTTGGAATGAAGAAAGAGGGTAGCTGAATGAACTAGGAAAAGTGAAGTTGGGATGGAATGATATTTGGAAGATGGAACCATTTAGACTTCAGTTTAAGCTGAAGTCAGTTTACGATGTTCTTCCCAGCCCAACTATCTTTTAACAATGGGAATTACAGATGATCCAAAGTGTGTCCTCTGTGGTAAACCAGCAAACCTGGAGCACATATTATCAGCTTGCTCAGAAGCTTTGAAAGATGGGAGATACACTTGGAGACACGATAGAGTCCTAGCCAGTATAGCTGATACCTTGGAGAAAGGTATTAGAGAGCCAAAAAGAACGCAGAGAGTCTGAGATTTGTCAACTTTGTGAAAGAAGGTGAAAAGGGACATCAAGTTAGAGTTGAAGGAAGTGGTCTGTTGGGGACAGCGACAGATTGGCAGATGCGGGTAGACCTTAAGGAAAGATTAGTATTCCCACCGAAAATATTAGCCACAAACAAGAGGCCTGATCTAGTCCTTTGGTCAATGGCTACAAGACAGACAATTACTATGGAATTAATAGTGCCATGGGAAGAAAGGATGGAGGATGCATATGAAAGGAAAAATTTTAAGTACCAAGACCTACTGAAAGATTGTCAGCAGAATGGATGGAAGGTATGGTTTTATGCAGTGAAAGTTGGTTGTAGGGGATTCATGGGTTAGTCTATGTGGAGAGCACTGAGAGCCATTGGCATAACGGGATCTGGAGCAGAGAGGAGGAGATTGATAGGGAGTCTGTGCAGGGAGGCGGAATCAGCGTCCATGTGGTTGTGGAGAAGAAGAGCAGATAAGTTGAAAGACAATAAACATAAGTGAGATAGACAGTAAAGTAGAACAGCAGTGATGTGAATAAACAGTAAGACAGACACTGAATTAGTACAGCGGTGATGTAGAGCCAAGTGGTTCCAGGCTGGGATTTGATCACCCCAGTCGGCGCACCTCTGGAGGCTGTAGTGGATAGCGCCGAAACAGCCTATGAAGAAGGATCCACCTGAGGATGGAACCACGCATCTTTCCATCAAGATGTATACAAGTAAAAAAAAAGTCAGTAAATTACACGTGATTATGGCAAATCAGTCATGTTAGAGCGTGTGCGTATTTTTCCTTCAATATTCATGGCTCCTTAATCGAAGATTCGGGGGTATATAATTTTTGTCGTGTCCGTCCGTCTGTCTGTTTTTCCGCAAAAACTTTAACCTTGCTCATAACTTTCGATTTAGTGGGGCAATGAATTTCATATGTGTATACTTTGTGACATGACTTTTCCTTGAGTACTACCAGATTTGACCTTTTGACCTTGATTTTGGGGTTTGACACACTCTTACACAAAATTTCTTAACTCTTACTGCGGTCATAACTTTTGAACAGTACATACTAGGACTTTCATACTTCACATGTAGTTTTGTGACAAACCTTTCATCGGATACATACATTTTTGATATATGCATATTGACCTTGATCTTGGGGATTTATGCACTTGGTGTTTTACCTACTTTTTAAAAACAAACCTTGACCAGGACTTTCTAAGGGTTGAGGCTAGGACTTTCATACATCATATATTTATTCCTTGTGACAAGACCTTTCATTGGCTACCAATTTGAAGAAATTTGACCCTTTGACATTGCAACCCTGGTCATAACTTTTAACAGTTGGCGCTACGGCTTTCATACTTCACAAATATTATCCTTATGACAAAACCGTTTCTTAGAAACTATCAATTTTGACCCCTTGACCTTCATCCTGGAGGTTGACCTACCTTTCCAAAAAATGTCCTTGGCCTTAATAACCTTTGAACAGGTAGCTTTCATATTTCACAATTGTATTTCTTGTGAGAAGACCTTACTTTGGGTACCAACATATTTAAAGCTGAACACGACTCATAAATAGGCATACACCATTTTCGATAGCATTATCTATGATACATCAATACTAGGGTATACTCGTCGCGTTCGTTACACCTGACTGCTTTATTGTCACGGATATCGGCGTGGAATGGCGACCCGTGTTCGTGCTAGTTATCTTGCATTACTTTTGTTTATATTTTATTGCAGTTACATTTATCTGTGATGTTTGTATACTGCACTGACTTATACAGGTATATTTGTAAACTTATTTGGTATCTTATATTTTCCTGTATTATACGAAGCATTACGTTATTATTCTTGCTACCGAGTTCTGTATAGCATACGTCCGTCTACACCGGTGTCAACTTATTAAACTAAACAGTGACCAAATTCTGCCCTATTTATAGGGGTCTGAAGAGTAGCAAGACTTGGGAACAAAAATGGCGGACAGATTCCTTTTACGAATCGTGTTCAGCTTTAATTTGCATTTAAGAAAAGATTAATCTTCTCTATGTTGCCATACGGGGGCATCAGTGTTTCACAAATACATCTTGTTTTTATTTGTAATGATACTCAAATGCCCGCTAAGGTGGTATATTTTCTATCCGTTTTCGTCCGTTAAGGATGTATTCACTTTGACAAAAGAATTGACATACAGGAGAGAGCAATTTCCCGGAAAGAGTGACATTTAAAAATTAATCCTATTTTGCTGTTTTCTATCGTTTATACATGTATGTCTTAATTTTTCAAATATGATACATGTTTTTCATACCTAACATTAATTTAGACAACTTTACAATAAACCCCCAAAGTTGGTTGAACACCATTTTCTCCTTTAAAGTGTTGATTTTTGTGTAAATTTTGCCTAGAAGTCCTTCAAGGCAGGCCTGCTCCTAAATAAAATTGTGTTAGTTTGATACCCTGGGATACTACTGTTCTTGGGTGGAAATACACAAAAAAACTACAAAAAATAAGGAAGCCTGATTTTGATAATTTGCTTCAAAGAAGAAGGTACAGTTTGAATACAAATTAAGCCCTATATTTTTCTAAACTATGAAAGTGATATAAGAAATTAAAATTTGTTCCTTCTGTATCATTGGAATTCTCGGGAGTAAGAATACACAAATGGTTTTTCTTATATAACCTCCTAAATGCTAATTGTGACGTCATTAATTTGTGCATTTTCCCGTATTTTCTTAAAAAGTTGAAGAAGTCATCAATTTTCAGTAGAAGTTTCTTTCAGAAAACATACTCTGCCACCGTCACCCGGAAAGATTTTGAGATATGTGATTTTTTACAGCTGTTTGCACAATATATCCAAACATTAAAGCGGGCGACGGTGGCAGACACTTTTTCCTAAAGGAAAATTAGCAGAAAAACGAGTCATTTTGAAGCATTTCTGCATTTAACTCAAAAATGTACCAAATTAATGACGTCATATTTCAAAAAAGACTCTTCATCATGCCGTATTTTTTCATGATTTAGCATATTCATCTACTCAACTATTGTTAAAGCCAATTTCAAAACTTTTCAAGAACAATAAATTTTTAGGGCACAATAAAGCTCAAACCGTACCATCTTCTTTATATTTAAAGCTAATTTATAAATTTAGCCTTGTCAAATTCTCTTTTTAAAGTCGGGTGTTCGAATCCACCTGGTACCATCCTTTTTAAGTTTTGAATTTTCGTCTTTTTAAAGACTATTTTAATATTCTTTTCACGTAGACTTGTATTTTACTTCAATTATCTACCCTTTATGCATGCCTATTCTTGATATACATGTAAGAAACACTAAAAAAGATCAAATCGTAAACATCCTATGGACAGTTGTCAGTCAAGCGGAACAAACCTTAGTATAAGCACACTTTCTCCTAGGACAAGAATAACTCACTCTGTGTTACTCGATGCAGGTATTCTTGGTAGAATTGAGCGGCGATGAATTTCAGTTGTATATATTCCTTAAATTAGAATTTAATCACATTGATTTTGGCTACATGTATCATTAACAATTACTGTACTCCCTTGGATTTCATTTAGGCCTATATAATTTGCATACATAATGGCATGTTTCATTATATATCCACGGGTAAATAGCCTAAACATAACGAATATAGTTTCCTGGATATTACCATTAAGCACAAAAAAGAAGTAAAGAAAATGTCAATTTTTACATTAATTTTGGAGATAAACTCAGAAAATCACTGACACAGCTCCTTCTGCCTGTAATCACTGAAATAAAGATATATGAAAAACAAACTGTTACATGTTTTCAGCCTAATGCCATCAATTGGAGCGGAAATCGACAAGCTTTTTGTGATAAAAAAGCAAGCCCGGTCCTATAGGTCAGATCCCTATTTATAATGAAGTGAACCTTTGCAGAAAAAAACAAGATGTGTTTGTGAAACACTGATACCCCCGTAGGCAACATAGCAAAGATTAAACTTTCTAAAATGCAAATTTAATGTATTGGTACCAAAAGTAGGGTATTCTCACTGGAAATATAATTGTGAAATATGAAAGTAGGCCGAATTTAAAGTTTTTCATAAGAACTGAAATCTTCAAGGTCAAGATCATTGGGATCTAATACATACGCAAAGTATGGGAGCCCTAGCCCTAACCGTTCAGAAGTTATGACTATGGTAACAAATTTTAAAAGTAGGTCAAACTCCAAGGTCAAAGGTCTTGATAACAAATGAAAGGTCTTGTCACAAGGATTCAATATGTAAAATATGAAAGCACTAGCCCTAACCCTTTAAAAGTAATAATCAAGGTTTGCTTTTTAAAGTAGGTCAAACTCCAAGGTCAAAGGGTCAAAGTTCTTGGTATCCAATAAAGCGTCTTCTCACAAAGATTACATAAGTGAAGTATATGATCACTAATCCTTAGCATTTAAAAGTTTTGGACAATGTCAAAGTTTTTTCATATGTATAGAAATATTAAATATCAAGGTCAAAAGGTCAAGATTATTAGTATCCAGTGAAAGGTTTTGCCACATAGAATACATATGCAGAGTATGGAAGCCCTTGCCTTAACCGTTCAGAAGTTATGGTCAATATTTGCTTTTTAAATGTAGGTCAAACGTCAAGGTCAAAGGGTCAGAGTTCTTTGTATCCAATAAAGCGTCTTTCCACAAGGGTTACATATGTGAAGTAGGGAAGACTTATCCCCAAGTGTTCAAAACCTATGGCCAAGGTTAAGGTTAAAGTTTTTTTTCAAAAATACGGAAATCTCCAAGGTCAAAGTTGGTAGTACTCTATGGAAGGTCTTGGGATATATATATATATATATATATATATATATATATATATATATATATATATATATATATATATATATATATATATATATATATATATAACATAACTGCCCTAAGTGAAGAAATATTAACATAGAATGCACAAAGAAATTCACTTTTACATGGATACCCACTTCCGCCCCAGCCCGGGGTTAAACTCTCGACCTTCGGAATCTGTCTCCTAGCATATATATATATATGAAATATAAAATTCCTGGTTTCTACTGTTCAATAAATATGACCAAAGTAATAGTAAAGAATTTTTGTTTAAAGGTGAGTCAAACTCCAAGGTCAAGGTCAAAAGGTCAAATTTGATGGTACCCAAAGAAAGGTCTTGTCAGAAGGAATAAACATATGAAATATATGTCTTAGCTCCATTTAATCAAAAGTTATGGGAAAGGTTAAAGTTTTTGCGGACAAACAGACAGACAGAGAGACAGCTAGACAGACAGACAAATGGACAGACATAACAAAAACTATATGCCCCCGAAACTTCGTTTTCGGGGGTATAAAAATGCCTAACACTTTCTATGTGTATATATACGCCTAAATAGTACTGGCATCTTCCATTGATAAAGTCAGTTATGATAAGCTCCTTAATGGTACTGCCGGGACTGCTAACTAGGACCACTTGGACTAATCGGACCTATGTGGTTATTATACAATCTCCTTTTAACGTTTTACAAATATAACATGACATAAATTTTTAGTTTATGTTTTATCTTATTTGCTTTATTTTAAAATTCGAAAATAAAAATTTGAAACTGAAATTCTAACAGTGAATACAATTCGTATAAATTCGCTTGTACAAAATAATATATATCTTCAATTGAGAACCCCAAAAAATAATTTCTGATGTATGAAATGATTTGAAAATAATTGTATGATTTTATATGTCTTCAATCCATATAATTGTGCTTATATATTTCTTCAACATTGTCTTGGAAATTAAAGTATTAAACGCAACAAAATTGCCAGATACCACAATGGTGAAGTTTGAGACTCCCGCTCACAACAGAAGTTTTTTCGTATATTCAAATATTTCTTATGCCAATATGCCAATGAATAATTTTCAACAGCTCTGTCAAAACGGCCTAACTTTATCTGGATGATAGCACGCATGATATATATAATGTACCATCCGCCATCAGGGGATGTTGGGATGATATTTTTCAGGTGATTCTTTACATGTTTCACATTGTTTCTGTCACCTTTCTTTGCAAAACATAGCGCTTTTACAAAAAGAGAATAATGACGAGGGGGAATAGACAAAAAAGAAGTTTGTGTTTTGACCAGTTAAATTTCGAGTGCAATTTCCTTGGGTATGATTGGCCTGTTTTGATAGACATGGAAATCATACGAAACCGCTAAAGAGGCCCTCTCTAGTCTATTTAAAGCTCGGGTACAGAAATTTTTCTTGTAACCTGGGTCTACTTTTGTTGGATATTTTGAACTCACATACAGCACCCCAGATCTGTGGTGAAGAATGTCTTCATACAGCTCTATAATCTTTAAAGCTTTTGAATAGTTTCCAAGGCAGTAATAAGCTGTTGCTAAGGACAGTCTTCCTCTGCTGATGTCAGCGCGACACGTGTAGCTTAGCAGACTAAGCGCTCGTCGGATTTGACGATATTTGAAGCGTGCACACCTAGATTCCAGCAGAGTTTCGTCTAAGAGAAAAAGTGCCATGCGTTGCAGAAGCTTTTGTTGAGACAATGTTATAATGTCAATATCTGAACGATCTCTTTCGGCTTTGATAAGGCTTACTATTTTCTTAGAAAACATAGTTTTCAGACCTGTTATATCAGAAAAATTAATGACATCGTTTTCTAAGTCGGAAAAGAAACCAACGTCGACTTCCTCCTCATGATCAGCACCGGATTCTTCGTTGATTTCAGGTGAGATAAAATGAATTTCCCTTGTGTTTAGATCATCATTTAACATCTTGGGAATCTGTATATTTGTATTTTGAAGTGCATCTTCAAAAGGTTTCATTGATGGACACCTTAATAAGCATCTCCAGCCTTGTGCATATAGTTCCAACAAGTGATTGATAAGGAAACATTGTTCATTCTCACCTAAACGTCCATAAAACATATTGTTTTCTCTCACAAAATAGTTCGGACAAAAGCCGTTTGAAACCCAGGATATTAACCTTTTCAAACAAACTTCAATGCAGGAAACTAGCCGAAGAGGTTGCCAAAGTGCTGTAGTTGACTCTTCAATGCTCCAGAAGACAAGCGTTTTCATGAAATATGAACACAAAGTGTCGTTATTGTTTTCAAACGCTTCTTTTAAAAGAAGTTTAAATGTTCCATAAACAAGAAACTGTGTATCGTTCATTGTGTGAACTAAACGTTTTTCCGCCTCAGAAAAAGACAGTCGCCAAATAAGTGGATCCGCCGACCAGTTACCATATCTATCAATAGATTTAGAGCCAATAGGAACTACGTGACATCCATCATCATATATCGCCTTAACACAATTTGTGTCTGGCCAACCGTGTGATCTTTTTCTGAAATACCACTTCTCGGCATCGGATGGCCAATGAACACAATGAAGACAATAAACTTCGTCCAATTCCGTTCCATTTTCCGACAATTTCTTTACACTAGGTCCATGTTGTTCTTCGTTTTCTCTAAGATGCAATTTCACATATGAATCACTTGATATGTATATTGCTCCATTCATAGGATAAGCTGACTGTCTAAGGTGTCGGTTTGCTCTCTCCGGCGTAAGTAAAATAAGCTGAACATATCCGGGTTGATGAGGCTTCGATTTCTCCATCCTTACTTGACAACATTTTGACGAAGAAAATATCCCATTTTCGGAGACTTGAACATTCTTATCAATAAACATATGGTCAATATCATTTGCCAAGTTAGTAAAACCTTCCGCATAACTCCCTGCTCTGATAACACGCAAGTAAGGACTCAGATAGATATCAGTCTGGACAATTTCTATCTTTCTACTCAATAATTTTTGATCGGGATTTAAGCCGACTACTTTCTTAAGACTGTCATTTAGTACGAAGCACAAACGGTCATTGTCCTGCCACATATTTTTTAAAGAAACCAAGAAACGCCAAAGTTGACACGGTAATGATGTATATGCAACAAGGGAATAAATATATGAAGTTGTTTATTTTGGTACTTCCCTGTTTTTTCCTATTTTGATAGATCCATAGCGGAATGTAAAAAAAGCAAAATTAATATGCACTACTTTTCTTTGAAATCTGCCATGGCCTTTCTTAAACATATTTATTTATTTTTTTTGTTAATTTATCAAAAAAAAATAAAATTTACAATTTGGTTTGTTAGGCTCTTGAAAAATGTTTAGAATTAAGGTATCCGATCCATATTAGCCTCAGATTCAATGGAATTGAATGCATAATAGATATGTATGGGCTGAATGATCAGTGTAGTTAGAACTAATTTTCATCTTTTAGTGTAAGAATGTAAGAGTGGGACATGTCCTAATTTTTTACCTTTTCCTGCCCTTGACGAGTTATTTCCCTTTGATTTTACTTAATAAAAATTAATTTTAAAAAATCTGTCAGGTGAAAAAATGATCTCTTATTATTTTTCTATTCCCAATGATCAAATACATCTTTCCACCTCAGCATTTTTGACATTTGAAGTATCTATTTTTTTATCTCAAAAAACTCCCTTCTTGCAATAGACTTCAATGCAATCTTCAATAATTAATTTCTGCTAAGGTAATAAAATTTTTAAAAATTTTCTTGGTATATCCCTTTCTACTCCAAAGGCCTTTCAAATAATATCAGGATATTCTACAAACAATTGATATTTAAGGTTAGAAATTTTGGTCCTAATATGGGTCGGATACCTTAAAAATTAGTTGTACAGATATATGAAACACATTTCAGTATTTGAAGACGTTTAGAAGGACACATGTCTTATTATTAGCAAAAATAACTCTTTTTAATGGCAGTTTACTTGTAATGTGCAGTAATATTAAAGGTATGTTTAAGATTCCTTTTGGAGAACCGAATTGTGATTTACTTTGAATGAAAATTAAGGGTGAAGATTACGAAGGGTGAGTGATCAATCTAAAAAATCAATACGTGTAAAAGACAAAAACACGTGCCCCCTAACAAAAATACTATAGTTAACTATAATTTAACAATAGTGAACTGGTACATTGAAGTTACAAAGTCTTTACTAAAGTAAATCAAAGTTCCAAAAATTGTACTATAGTAAATGAAAGTTTCACCCCCCCCCCCCCCAAAAAAAAAAATTTCCAAAGCATTTACTAATGTAACTTAAAGTTCCAAAGTTTTTACCATAAAGTTAATCAAGTAATTATATTATGTTTTGTCCCCCCCCCCAACCCCCGCCCAGAAAAATTGAAGAAAAATGGGATCCGGTGGTAAGCAGTAGTAGGCATTAACTATCGACCGATCAAACTAACCATCAGCTCAATACTGTGATATGAACATTTCTTAGTCAAAATCAGCGTAAGAACAAAGGCCTGATTATAGTACAATCAGTTCAGCCAAGATACGACCTAATGTTATGTTATATTTTTTTAAGAAAGCAATTTTAACGATTACAGAATTTACACAATCATTGTTATATTAACTTGTCTGTCAGTAGCCTTCTTCGGTTTGAACACTGAACATCCTCGGAAGAAGCTCTTGAAAATCCAAAAAGTTTGAAGGTGCTATACCGTAATTAATAAGCAGGTAATAGAGGAATATTACTACTTAAATAAAGAAGGTTGAGAATAAAAAAAGTTTGTCATATAATTTTTAAAAGTTGTTAGTCCACTACATGCAATATTTACATCAATACTTTTAAGATATTTAAGGATCAAAATAAGAACAATGACCTAAAAATATTTACAGTAAACTGTCAAGACCTTTGTAAAATTCATAGAAAGATGCTAAAATATAAAAAAAAAATGTTAACTCTTTACAAGACACACATTTTGTTGTAGACAAGATACAAAAATCGTGATACTTAAGATGTCATATCTCTTTTTGGTAGAAATTCTGCTCACACATCCTGAAATTCCTAGAAACGTAACTCGAAATTGGATAAAAATTTATAACAATTGAGGGTGAAGAGTGCGAACGATCACAATATGCTGGGATGGTTAAGTATGTGATCCATGAATGGTATTTGCCGAGAATTGGATTTAATATTGATAATATGTATGGCTTAAAGATAAAGTTTTTAAGTTTTTAAAAAACAAAAATGAAATTGGTGGTAAAAAATTGATAAACATTACTTAAACTAATCCATCCAATTCTTACTTACCTAATTAGAAAATTTGATGATGTTTGAGACAAAAATGTTTATTTATATAGAAGTAAAATTGATAAGGTTATTTTTAAAAAAATCCAAAAATAAATTGACGCTGTGTTAAAGGAGATTAAAAAAAGTTTTTTTATTGAAATTTTTTTGTAGTTTGAAATTTTTGATATGAGGAATTGCCTTGGGAATTTTTAATCCACTGTAAGTCACACAGTTCCATTTACTTCCTATTTCTCTATTTGATCCAGAGGAAAATTGCGGATTTTCTTTTTTATTTTTTGTAATATTTTGCATTATTTGTAAAGGAAGAATTGTTTTTAATTTGTTAACCCCCTCTTTTTCTCAATTGTATGTATATAATTAAGACAAAGTTTGTGTAAATCGAATGTTAATTTGTATCAAAAGATTAATGTTTTCATACGTAAATGTTCCTGTGATACAGTGTCACAACAATAATAATGTTGTTAGTGGGCCCCTTTCGTCTAAAAGATCTAAATATGTAATAGACCTGACACACTCTGTGGTGTTTATCATGTCAACTGCAATGGGATAAACATAAAATTGACATATGAATGAGAGTAACAATTAAGGAGGCTGGCGGGTCAAAATTTGATCCCAAATTAACCACCAGATTTAACTTATTTTTTTAGATACGATATATTTAGATCTCAACTATCATTTGGCAAAGAAAAATATTCATATATTTTAGTTTTAAAATTTTATCATTTTGTATATCTTTATATTGAGCTCTCCTTTTAAAGGAGATTGAAATAGTCTAAAATGGCTGCCACCCCCAGGTAGAGTCTATAACATAACCTAGTCTTGGATTCCGGGAATATTATTTCCGGTATGGTTTTATGTAATAGAACACATATACGATCCCGATGCAATATACTTTTGTAAACATGCTGATGTGTGGCAACTAATTTGATTGTCAATCGTTAATCGGAGACATAATATTATGACATCGAAGCGAAAAAATGATTCCACCAAGTTTGTGGTATTTAATAGTTAACATACTAAATTTCATGACCTATTAGTATCACTTCTATACACAAGCATGCCAAAATAGAATTAGTGACCTACTTTAGTATTTGGCATGTGCACGTACTGGAGAATATTATTTACTTGATTAAGTATGTTAATCTACCGAGACAAAAAGAAATTTGTTATAAGGAATCCAGCCCATATAACGCTAGGTAATTAGTCTCTAAATGTGAACCTGGATAAAAGGAATTAGGTCCTAGAAATAAAATAACGTTCAACGAGCAATATATGATGATATAGGTGTTCAACATAACCTAATAAAATGTTCAACTGTGAAATAACTCATTAAAAAAACATTCATCGGAAACTAAAATCCGATACACAGGGAAACCTAATAATCCAGTCATGGTTCAACAGATCCCAGTCATCTAACAGTGTAACCAATCCACTGAACTACATATCCCAGTCACTTTTCAACATTATACAGTCATGGTTGAACATAAGCAAGTCTCTAAACTACTTAACCCAGTCACAGTTCCACATAAACAAGTCTCTAAACTACATAATCCAGTCCCAGTTCCACAAAAACAAGTCTCTAAACTACATAACCTAGTCACGGTTCAATATAAACAAGTCTCTAAACTACATAACCCAGTCACGGTTCTACATAAACAAGTCTCTAAACTACATAATCCAGTCACGGTTCTACATAAACAAGTCTCTAAACTACATAATCCAGTCATGGTTCTTCATAAACAAGTCTCTAAACTACATAACCCAGTCATGGTTCTTCATAAACAAGTCTCTAAACTACATAATCCAGTCACGGCTCTACATAAACAAGTCTCTAAACTACCTAACCTAGTCACAGTTCTTCATAAACAAGTCTCTAAACTACATAATCCAGTCACGGTTCTACATAAACAAGTCTCTAAACTACATAACCCAGTCACGGTTCTACATAAACAAGTCTCTAAACTACATAATCCAGTCACGGTTCTACATAAACAACTCTCTTAACTAAATAATCCAGTCATGGTTCTACATAAACAAGTCTCTAAACTACATTATCCAGTCATGGTTCTACATAGACAAGTCTCTAAACTACATAATCCAGTCATGGTTCTTCATAAACAAGTCTCTAAACTACATAACCCAGTCATGGTTCTACATAGACAAGTCTCTAAACTACATAATCCAGTCATGGTTCTACATAGACAAGTCTCTAAACTACATAACCCAGTCATGGTTCTACATAAACAAATCTCTAAACTATAAAACCTAGTCATGGTTCAACATAAACAAGTCTCTAAACTACATAATCCAGTCACGGTTCTACATAAACAAGTCTCTAAACTACATAATCCAGTCATGGTTCTACATAAACAAGTCTCTAAACTACATAATCCAGTCATGGTTCTACATAAACAAATCTCTAAACTATATAACCTAGTCACGGTTCAATATAAACAAGTCTCTAAACTACATAATCCAGTCAAGGTTCTACATAAACAAGTC